GAGTTTTCAGTCGCATATAGTCCTGGGGACCATTCAGGCTTGTTCGCATTTGTGTTCCTCACGTGTGCCCCAAAAGAATGAGGTGATTTGATAAAATGCTATGCCCAAGATTACCATCCGAGTGCCGGCGGGGAAGTGTTTCAAATAGCTTCGGCTATCACTTCCTTTTGTCCGGTCGTGATGGTCAAGTGGATTAAGGCGTCCTGTAGTTACCAGTTGCGTTGCTTCTGGGAGTATGGGTTCGAGTCACTTCTGGGGTGTGAGTTTTCAGTCGCATATAGTCCTGGGGACCATTCAGGCTTGTTCGCATTTGTGTTCCTCACGTGTGCCCCAAAAGAATGAGGTGATTTGATAAAATGCTATGCCCAAGATTACCATCCGAGTGCCGGCGGGGAAGTGTTTCAAATAGCTTCGGCTATCACTTCCTTTTGTCCGGTCGTGATGGTCAAGTGGATTAAGGCGTCCTGTAGTTACCAGTTGCGTTGCTTCTGGGAGTATGGGTTCGAGTCACTTCTGGGGTGTGAGTTTTCAGTCGCATATAATATATATATACGGGAAAACTCAGTGCCAAATGCTTAATGCACAGACTATCCTATTCCAGTTTATAACTTTTAGACACTCAACCCACCAGGGGACTCGAACACTGGCCAACAAGGTGGCAGTTGCATCAGGGGACAAACTACCCTACTGGAATAGGGTAGTTTGTGCATTAAGCATTTGGCACTGAGTTTTCCCATATAACAGGAACCGATGAAAGAGCATCAGAGGTCTCACACTATCTCATCGCCTGGGAGAGGATTGGAGTTCTGGTTGGTTAAATACCCCAGAATTCCTACCTCTCTTATGGCTTTGAAGTATGGTGTAGTGGATACAGCATGCAACTGCCACCTTGTTGGCCAGTGTTCGAGTCCCCTGGTGGGTTGAGTGTCTAAAAAGTTTTAAACTTCAGCTACTGGAATATGGTAGTCTGTGCATTAAGCATTTGGCACTGAGTTTTCCCATATAACAGGAACCGATGAAAGAGCATCAGAAGTCCCACACTATCTCATCGCCTGGAGAGGATTGGAGTTCTGGTTGGTTAAATACCCCAGAATTCCTACCTCTCTTATGGCTTTGAAGTATGGTGTAGTCGATACAGCATGCAACTGCCACCTTGTTGGCCAGTGTTCGAGTCCCCTGGTGGGTTGAGTGTCTAAAAAGTTATGAATATATATATATATATATATATATATATATATATATATATATATATATATATATATATCTATATATATATATATATATATATATATATATATATATATATATATATATATATATATATATTTATATATATATGCGAACAAGCCTGACTAGTTATATATATATATTTATATATATATATATATATATATATATATATATATATATATATATATATATATATATATATATATATTAGTATATTTTGGTAGCAGTCTTTCCTGTAGACATATATTACTAAATATGACCGAAAAAGTAAGATTAATAATTCTAACACGAATTTTCTCAATCTTTCGTACATTTCTTTTCACTGTTGGAGGTAATTCAAAAATAAATTTCATCAACACAAGACAGAACAAGAGGTGGCATTAATAGGGTATTAATTTCATCAACACAAGACAGAACACGAAACAATGGGTATTGAAATGGAAGTGATTGTAGAAAGCCTATTGGTCCATATTTCTTGATGCTTCTATATTGGAGCGGAGTCTTGAGGTGGGTAGAATATAGTTGTGCATTAATTGGCTGTTGATTGCTGGTGTTGACTTCTTAATGTGTAGTGCCTCGCAAACGTCAAGCCGCCTGCTATCGCTGTATCTATCGATGATTTCTGTGTTGTTTACTAGGATTTCTCTGGCGATGGTTTGGTTGTGGGAAGAGATTATATGTTCCTTAATGGAGCCCTGTTGTTTATGCATCGTTAAACGCCTAGAAAGAGATGTTGTTGTATTGCCTATATACTGGGTTTTTGGAGCTTACAGTCCCCAAGTGGGCATTTGAAGGCATAGACAACGTTGGTCTCTTTTAAAGCGTTCTGCTTTAACGAGAGTTAGTCTGGCACCTTGACCTCGATCTATACTAACCAAGTGGACGAGTTAGAAGAGGAGGTCAGTGTACCAGTTACTTGCCCACTCACTCCAGTTGTTTTAGTCATTGACCTTGAGTAAGTTGCAGAGTACTGATCCTAGTTTATCTGGGTATTGTGCGGAAGAGGCTGCTACTGTAGATACATTGGAGGAAAGTATGGGTTTCCCCTTAGGACGATGGAGACCTAAAGGATGAGAGTAGAATTCAACGTGTTGTCCCCAGTGATTATCGTGAGCAAGTCTTGTAAGCTGCACACGATGATCCTATTGGAGGTCACCAAGGTATCACTAGTATGTATCATAAAACATATAAATTCTTCTACTGGCCCAAATTGAAGAAAGATGCAGTCAGGTATTGTCACACCTCTCTAGTATGTCAAACTGTGAGTTAACCCAACCAGACTGTTCCGAGAGCACCATTGCAACCTATTGTTGTGCCAGAGGAGTCTTTTTCACATTTGATTATGGATTGTGTAGGTCCATTTACCCCAGAACTAGATCTGGCAATATGTTTATGTTTACCTTAATGTGAATGACTACTAGATTTCCAAAAGTTTATGCTCAATGTAATATTAAGACTAAAACACTTATAAGGCACTTGGAATGGATTTTCTCATTATTTGATATGTATTGCGTCATTCAGACAGATAATGATGGCAGTTTTTGCTCTGAAGTATTTAACACTTTTGGGGAATCTTTAGGGATCGAGCATAAATTCTCTAGACCGTATCATCCATGTTATAGTCCCTTGACATATGGGTAAGGTTTATGTGCCTTACAGTCGTATTAATTAATTAGTATTTGTGGCATTGCCAATATCAACTGTCAAGAGGTGAAAATAAACGACTGCTTCACAAACACATCATTATACTTCATGAAGAGGTAACAAAGAATAAAAAACATAAACATATAAAATAAACACAGGTAGCCAAGAATAACCAGAACTCTTTACATAAAATAATGCGGTGTAATTACAAATAATAAGCACTGATTATTTGATTAATATTAAATGAATAAAGGTTATTCAAATAATAGTCCAACCAGATAGTTAGGTATGTTACCGATCAATAACAGGCAATATTGAATTATCTCATAATTACAGGTCCACCTCAGACAACTCTACCCACACTACTGGCAAACACAATGCCTACTAAACGTCTCGTCTAAACATTACCAATTAACACCCAAAAGAAAACTCTCAGATGCTCTGCTAGCCGAGAGCAATACTTATAAACATAATTAAAAATTAAAGAATATGAATTTAACTCTAATAAGTTGTAATTAAAAAATGTACATAAAAAAACAAATAATAATTACAGGGGTTTAATCATGGACACTATGTTGATACAAGGCAAACGTCAGTGAAGATTTAAAATATATGGCAGCCCCCTCCCCCTCCCCAACCCCACTAGATGCCACTGTCTCAATTCACATGAATAAATATGCAGTAACAACAAAAATATATATAATACTGGCACACTTCAACATGCTACAGTTAACTCAGACAAAATATTCAGGAAAACAATAAGATGTACTATCAATTTTCAAATAACTGAGGAATGAACTTAGTAACAAAAATGCTTTATCATGGTCCATGTTAGAATGAAGAATAATGATTTGTAACAATCCGCAAAGTCAAGGTGGAGTTGAAAGTTTCCACCAAACTTTAAAACAGATGTTGAATACTAGAGGGGAGAATTTTCCAAGACATTGGGAAGAAATCCTACGTTTTGTCTAATTTGCAGCAAGGGAAGGGCTGCAAACTACCCTGAATCGTTCACCTTTTGATCCTGTTTTTGGACACCAGGTAAGAGATCCGATATAAATGCTTCATGAGAAAATGCTTAGGAATGTGTTAGTTAGGCAGATCGCAGATCCCTGAATGATGTGAGAAGTAAACTGTGTTGTACGAAAGAGTTGGCTTTACAGTATTTGTGAGAAGTTCCGTAGGTGATGAAGCAGCGACGTGATAAGAAATTCAAAGCAAAACTCAGGACTTTAAAGATTGGTGATGTGGTGTTAGTATTAAAACCTCGTATTGGGACTTCCATGTCTCACAAGTTTGAGGGATCGTACAAAGTTATTGAGAGACTGGGGAATCTTTCATATAAAGTGTGTAATACACAGCATTCCATACAGTCTATGACTGTGCACTTAAACCGGTTGAAGGCTTATTGCTGGCCAAATATTGTGGATTCTTTTCATCATGGAGAGTTAACACTTAAGGAAGAACTTAGTGTGGGGAAAATGTTAATTCATCTTGTTTCAATTTCAGTTCCAGAGAAGAGATGCTATGTTATTTGTAGGATGAGAAGCATGATGTTCAGGTTACAATATTGAAACTGGTGGAAGGCCTTGTGATCAGTGTATAACATTCCTCAGAATATTGTAACTGGTGGAAGGTTTTGTGGTCAGTGTATAACATTCCTCGGAATATTGTAACTGGTGGAAAGCCTTGTGGTCAGTGTATAACATTCCTCAGAATATTGTAACTGGTGGAAGGCCTTGTGGTCAGTGTATAACATTCCTCGGAACTTTGTAACTGGTGGAAGGCCTTGTGGTCAGTGTATAACATTCCTCGGAACATTGTAACTGATGGAAGGCACTGTGTTCGGTGTATAAAGGAAAAAAAATGATAACGGTTAATAAGATGATTCTGGAAAAATTCTCCAGTGAAGGAAACTTCGTTCACTGAAAGTTTCAGTTATATTGACTGTGAGAATAATATGAAAGTGATTTTATGGCTGGCCTATAATGCAAGGAACCATATGATGACTTAACCTGTTAAATGGTCAACTGGAAAGCAATATACCTGAAAGGAATGTCACTATCCAATGCTGTCAATCTACCCTATGAATTGGAAAGAGGAATGCAAAAAAATGATAAACTTGCAGTTATTTGCTTCATGATCTCTCCAGTGATATCTTGAACTTTACTCATGATGTTGTTGGCTGAGTCTCCCAGGTGAACGGGACCTGCTGTTGTACCTGCCGCTGTGGTCATCATAATATCCAGGGCCTTCCTGATGGTCTCCTGCACCTGTCATTACGAACACAAACATTAATACTGAAGGTTGAGAACACTGAATACTCACCACAGTGTACAGAAACTCCAAGATGAAAGTAGATTTCATTATAAGAAAATATTTCACTTGTTGGAGCAAATTGTTCTCGTATTATAAAGTGTAATTTGATCTTGGTGGTTCTCTGCATCAAGTGTTTATACACTGACAAAACTATACTCAGTTGAGTGAGAACTATGTGACCTTCAGTACATACCTTCACTGAGGTGTGCACAGTGTTGACATCCGGGAAGAGAGCCTGGCACTTCTGGGACCAATGTTGTACCTCCACATTGCACTTCTCAGCTGCGTCTATGATTGTGTCGGCGTTGTCTATAGCGTTGACTGTGTCAAGGTTCACCAACATGGCCTGCAGCCGAGTCTTCTCTTCCTCTCCCCGTGATGTCATAGTCACCACGCAGTCATCCTCCTGTTCTAAGAGCTTCATTACGGCCTTGTTCTGCTCTACCAGTCTCTCCTGGAGTTGAAGGTGTCGAGTCTTCCAGTCATTTAGCTGTCCCCGGTATTCACCCAGTTGGGACAGTACCTCCTCACACTCAATAATGACGCTGCTGATGCTGCTCTTCTGCTCCTTCACCACAGAACGCAACTTCTTCCTGGCGACTCCAGTTTGAGATCCCATTGCCATAAGCTCGTCGTGTTTTAGTTTCCTAACAAAGGCCTCCATACCATAATTTATAGGGAACCGAGAAGCAGCCGGGGCACTGTGCTGGGTGCGGCAAATGGGACACGCCAGCTGACCATTCTTAATAGCTTTGTTAACACACTGGGAGCAGAATTTGTGCCCACACGGCAGTGAGCGAGGCCGTACATCATCATCAAAACTGATAAGACAGACTGAACACTCCTCTGGCTTGTGGTAATCCTGTGGAAAATAGGGCATAGTTACGTTGATGTGTAAATAGATATTGGTATTGCATTTACAAATAAATGCTTTATTGCATTCTAGACCGGGTACCTGGCTGTGTCAGGGTTCTTCTCTACCTCCCCTCCTCACCTCTAGTAGTGTGTGTGAGGTCATCATTAATGCCCTCATCATGACTGGGTAAAGACAACCATCATTAATGCCCTCACCATGACTGGGTAAAGACAACCATCATTAATGCCCTCATCATGACTGGGTAAAGACAACACCATCATTAATGCCCTCACCATGACTGGGTAAAGACAACACCATCATTAATGCCCTCACCATGACTGGGTAATGACAACCATCATTAATGCCCTCACCATGACTGGGTAATGACAACCATCATTAATGCCCTCATCATGACTGGGTAAAGACAACACCATCATTAATGCCCTCATCATGACTGGGTAAAGACAACACCATCATTAATGCCCTCACCATGACTGGGTAATGACAACCATCATTAATGCTCTCATCATGACTGGGTAAAGACAACACCATCATTAATGCTCTCATCATGACTGGGTAAAGACAACACCATCATTAATGCCCTCACCATGACTGGGTAAAGACAACCATCATTAATGCCCTCATCATGACTGGGTAAAGACAACACCATCATTAATGCCCTCACCATGACTGGGTAAAGACAACCATCATTAATGCCCTCATCATGACTGGGTAAAGACAACACCATCATTAATGCCCTCATCATGACTGGGTAAAGACAACCATCATTAATGCCCTCAGTAGATTATTTGGTGACAGATAGAGCCACCTATGTAGGGTAATCAGATAAGAAAATCAGAAGCGGGGAGCCACATAGTGCCACTCCATATTAGGTCACCCAAGGTGTGAGTGGTAGCAGTCGAAAAAACAGTGAAGATAGGTATCTATTATGTGCCACTATGATCATGTTCATTTACAGTAAAGTAGCTACCTATGAAGGGTAATCAGATAAGAAAATCAGAGGCGGGGTGCCACTTAGAGCCACCCCATATTAGGTCGCCCAAGGTGTGGGGCAGCAACAATCGTAAAATAGTGAAGATAGGTATCTATTATGTGTCGCTATGTTCATGCTCATGTTCATTTATACAGAAAAGTATGACAGTATATTTGTATAATAAACACTCAGGTGAGCGGTAGTTACCCCCCCCCCCCCCTATGGGACAGGTGTAAAAACAGGATCCTCGCAGTAGGGGCGGTCCCCCCTCACCAGCCCTCCTCATACTTGATGACCTTGAGTGTACCGTAAGAGGGACCAGCCTCCCTTAGTTGTTTTTAAGTTGGATATATTTTAAGCCTCTATACTTAAAGAAGGAGAAAAAGAAATAATCCTGATGATTTATAGATTATATTATCAAAGTACATAGGGTTAAACATAGTCGTATTGTAGGTCATCTCCCCCCACATAATATTTATTAACAAGACCTCTCCTTCTCGCCCACAAGTCCGTTGTGGGGTCTTCCTCCCCCTCCTCCTGGGACGAAGATGATGACTCATCATCTCCCAGAGAGTGAATGGGATGTAGTGCGCCTCCCTCAGGTGACTGACTGCTGACGTCATAGGGTTCACTCTCGCTGGTGGGGTGTTGTCCTTCCTCTCCTTGTGGTTCA